GGGGGGACAACGGCAGGGAGGCGGAACACAAGGTGGCAACGAAACACTGACGGATAGGTCTTCGTGGGTCGGGGTTGAAGGCAAACCTGCAAGGCATAGCAAACAAAACGCCACGAAACAAAAAGATCCTGTTAGATACAAGCACTCACGATATAATATTACTGGTGTGGCTGTCAAGCGTTACAGAGCCATTAACTCTACGAGTTTCCGTTTCCGTTTCACATTTAAAGTAAATCAGGATGTCATAGACAGTAATTAAACAGTGGGTCACACGCACGTAGCCATGTGCAGACACATCCACTCTTAACGGGAACGATCTAGTCAGCATCCGAATTGGTTGGGATAATATAATTTCTCATTTATCCTTCCAAAATAAACAGATGATGGCCTTGATTTTGCCCAAATCACTCTAGCAGCAGTGTGTTCGTTAGGACACTCTCTGCAATTACGAACCGAACTGAACAAGGTAGGCAATCGCAACCGATATTTAAAGGTTGCCATCTATAATCCTACAGTTTATCTTGTTTAATTAAAGTAAAACACAAGTGGAGTTGGGCATGGGACTTAAAAACGCTCAATTGTTCCTGATCATCCAGACAGGATTTACTGTCCCATGTTGAAAATGAATACATACTTTACACTCCACACTCGATGAAAGCGTTATGTGTTGGCACTGGAAAGGTATTTTCGGTATTATCAACAGTGCGTAAAACGTTTTGTATTCCTGACGAGACGTTTCACCTCCTTTTGATTGTATACTGTGTACCAAGCAAATCACAGAACATGATCGTTTGAGTAATGGGCGTCAGCTCGTGATATGCGTGGGGATAGTATCATCAGATCGCCCAAAACTGAAGCATTCACTTGTGCGCAATTGTTGGATTCATCCTGAATTTCTTCCATCACCCAAAACAACTGCCGGTTGCACTAGATTTCTCAATTCATTAGCTGGCTGGCAATTACATTGGAGCATTAATGTGAAATAAATAATACCATTGACATTCGTACCCAATCTGCAGTGCATCTAGCTGATCATACACTGGAAAAGCAGCGAGCCCGGGGTTTGGTTTTCAATTTGACTCATTAATGGAGCGTACACACCAGCCCATTACGGTGTTCGAACTCCGAGATACATCAAACAGACAGCGTCTATGTTACTATTGCATTAACTAAACCACGCAGTCCTGTCTACGGGACCCTCTTCGGAGGAACTGAATATTTGTACTTGTATCTGTATTTGTATTGAAGCTTTAGCAAGATATACACAAGCTTCGAACCTAAAAGAAAACATCAATGAAATATTGGAGGAAAAGGATTACAAGCGGGACATTAAGCGTGAGAAAATGTGAATTAATTTCTAAATGCGTTAGACAGCTCAGAATGAATGTTCGCTTTGTCATTCAGCGTCCGATCAGGATACGTTACCAAGGAGTTTCTGTAGGCAGATATGCGAGATGGGATAGGTCTGTTTATGGAGAGGGTGGAGTGATAGGATCTATATGGGTGTAATCAAAAAGAGTTATTTCAGCAACCATCAAGCACGCATCGATATGATCGTCACAGATGTTGTTTATCAAAACAGATGGCGAAACCTGGGCAACACGGCTGAACGTGTGTGAGGTCACGTCTCAGCAGCTTCAAGTCAGCTCTCGACAAACCAGGGAAAATCGCAGGGAGGCAGTGAAGGGGAATGGGAAGAACGCATTGTTGGACAAAAACTCCCATCATCGACTAATCAAAACAGAAGTGAATGGAGAGACCTTTAAACTTGCAAGTAACAGTTTGAGTATGTAAAGATCAGCGAAGGTTAATTTCCACAGTGACCCATGAGTACTTCACATGACTGACTCTATTCATCGGTTTTCCCTGCACATTGTCGGAGTGAGATGGGTAACAGTGCGAAGTAAAAAAACACATTCAAAGACCTTTTCAACAGATCACTGAAAATTCACCGTTTTGGGTGTATCTAGCCTATCCTGACCTGCGTCGGAATTTCTGGAACGAGATGACTACATTAACAATGCATACTATATACTGATTGATAATGTGTTGGTAGTAAGTCAAGGCTGGAAGCTGAAACAACAGAAACACTGTCGGGTTAGTGCTTTAACCGAAAAGATAAGAGGAATACAGCCTCCAAACAATCGCAGGTCGGGTCTAGTTTAACAATAACAGAGANNNTCAATTAATTGATCAAGTAGTCGGAACACTCTCACATCCTAAGGTTCCTGATTTTATCTACTGCCTAGAGCATATATATATATATATGATAATTCACACACGTCTGAAGCTACAGTGTGCCAAATAAATCACAGTATAATAATCCTTATAAAAAGAAAAACGTTCCTTGATTTGCATGTGGGCGGGTTGCCTAGGCTAAGGCCGGTGAATTTCCTTGAGGAATTCACAACCAGAGCCTTTGACTGACCACTTGTACCCAAGTAGCAAGTGAGAGATTCGTGGTGCACGACCGTTTTTTTTCGAAACCAGAGTTGAGCCGGCGACAGACTTTTGTACCTCTCGAAATGCACCATCAGAGAATCATCAATAATTGACTCCATTACTTTGACAGAACAGGAAGAAGTGGAACGTGACCGCGGGAATCGATTCGGCAGTCACCTGTTTAAATAGAAAGGATGATACCGTGTTTCCAGTACCGAGAAATCGCCGTCCTGTAAAACATGGTATAAATGAACAATTATTTCAGATGTGTGGTTTGTCAAGAATGTCATAGTCTGTGGTCGGATGTTATCTTCCCCTAGGGATGAATTCTTACGCAACACCAATAGTTTGACTTTGACCGTTTCAGTTTCAAAGGTGAAGGTATTCAACTGGGGATATAGGACACTTGGTAGAACGTATGGAAGCTGCAATCCGACTTTGTCATCTTCAGCGAACAAATCATAGAACTGAACTTTCAGGAATTCGGCTACTTCTAGCATGGTAATGGGAACGGTCTTGCCTGCCTCAGTACCGTTATTCCGTAGTTCACTTTTCTGGTGGCATGGATATACCTGTACAGGAGGTATAGATTGGAAATTAATTTAATTCAATTTAATTTATTTAACCTCCGTTTGTCCTTTCGCACTAATTCTGTACACAAGTGTCCTACTATGGTACAGTTATCCCAAGTGTTGGCAATTGGACATCTTTTGAAATCTCCCCGGAAAAAGTCTATGCGACGTTCATTTTTTTGTTTGACTTCGAATAGGTGATAATTGTGTATGTAATATACCGATAGACTTGGTTTGTTTTTCGACCTTTATGAGTTCGGTTAGTGTCAATGGATTTTTCCCAGGGCACCCATGGATCAAGCTGTCCCTCCAGGCGAGTCAATCACTTGAAATCAGAAGGTTCTGTAATTTTATGTAGTCAATAAGAGTGCACGTGTTGGTTTTCAGGCATTTTTATATAGAGGCATGGTAAATGTAATAGAAAAGCAGAACTGCGTGGTCGCTTTGTCCTAATAGAGACGTGATTCGGACAGATTCAATTATAAGCTCATCTCTTGTTAATACCAAGCCCAACCTTGGTAGTAGGTGGCTTGTTCCAAATCTGGTAGGTTCCGTTACATGATGATAGATAGGATGTGAGTCGATAAACTGTGTCAAATTTTGTTTGAATGGCTGGTTATCGTTCTGACGTTTTGTAAAATGGGGACAATTAAAGTCTCTCATTATGGGAAGGATGATGAATTCAAAACTTGGAGGAATTGTCCGATTCAAAGTCATCATAGTAGCTGCAAGTTATTGATCGTTGAGGAAATTGGCATGTCTTAGCCACGAAGAACGAAAAACCAAAACACAANCGAAAAACCAAAACACAAGGCGTTGGTGACATCGTTTCGACCCTCTTGGAAGGCCTTTCTCAGGTCGTTTTTTTAGAAAGGCTTCCAAGAGGGCCGAAACGTTATCACCAACGCCTTGTGTTTTGGTTTTCCGTTCGTCGTGGCTAAGACAAGTTAATTTCCTCAATAATCATGAGCACGACGCCCAAGTTTTTCAGTGAGATCCGTTCCATCCATGGATCCCGTGTGATTATTGACCATGTGTTCAGACTTAAGGCGTCCCAGCTCACATTGGCCCCCAAATTGTGTGAGTAAACCATGCTGACCAAAACATCGAAAGAAATGACAAAATATGGCATGATAAAAACCGCTCAGTTTATCGGTGCGTTCCGAAATCACTGCAAATGTATCCCTCACTCTCTCAGCATTGCACCACGTGGTTCAAATACGAAAATAATAAGAACGAAAGATGAAGAGTGTTAAATACAACTAGCGGGAACAAGGACAACGACACCGCCCATAGTACACTTTGCTTTAAATGTAGCCTCCTCCTCTGTCAAGCTCTGAACTATTTTGATTGATTTTTTAAAGATATCGTTTCTGTCATTGACGTGGTGCTGAGGATTCGTACCAACCCAAATTAACTGTCATCATTCAACGTCATCCAACGAGCACTGTTTAGAACCAACGTATTTGGAATTTGTTGATCGACACGTCTTCCTAGTCCAACTTTACTCGGACCTTGTCGCAGAGCAATCCTTTGATGACGAGTGCTAGTTGGGATGGAGACAAAGTGAAAATGGGTGTTTGCATTTTGCAACTCAGTGAACGCCTCCATTTCAATTTTCACGAGATTTTAATACCTCAGTTCTATGTTATTTATGGGTTTAATGAATGATGTACCTGTTATGATTCCATAAGGCGGTGCTCGATCGGGGGTTGTTTATCGCCAATTACAGTTAGGATATCCATAATTTAACATACATATAACAGAAATTTCATTTGAAACATATCATCACAGTTCCCGGTGGCACACCGGGTAATGAATGAAGCAGTCGGTAGTTATTCTTTGAGACAGCGATTTACCCTCGGTAGTCTAGTTAATTCTTGATCGCTGAAGGAAACCACCAACCACACTATTTTGCATACTACTCACAAATGTGACTAGTATCTCACAACTCGCATTGTTTGAAACATTCGTTATCAACAAAAATCATAGATAACCCTTCACATCCATTACATCAAGATCTTATTAAATGTGTTCTCCTCTTCCACCCGGTCCCGCTATAATTGTATATTTGCTCGTACGACCGCCTATCGGTCTTCTGTGGTAACCTACCTTGCTCGTTTTCTTGTCAGCCCAGAACGCATCACTTCGAAACTTAACTCAGTCATCTCGTAAATTGTTTTCTTTTTCACTGCTTCTGTTATAATTTTGTTCGATAAGTGTTGGTTGACTATGTGACTGCTGAATATCTACCTTTCGGGGTGCATAAAGCAAATACTTGACTTGACTTGATAACGGTCCGTGTTTGCTTTCAGCCTCAAGCATTTCAACGATTAAGAAACAGCACGAGGATTGAACATTTACAAAGAAGAAAATTGTCAGTTGTTTAGTGCCACATTGGATAAATTGTGAGGACATAAAAGCAATACGAGATAACAGTAATCATCAGAGACAGAACTCACTTTGGCAGTGAAGGTGACTACAGCTTAACAAACAGCACTCGCCCTATGTTCTTTTGGCCTACTTTCTGTTCATTTTTTTTCAAACTTCTCAGCGCAACTTCACCTTTATTTCTGATTGTTGCTTGGCCGTCAGCAGAAAATTGCGTTTGCTAGGCCGTATTGATCGATCTGTTTCCCATGCGCCGTCACGTGAACCCCATAGGCGATTGCATACGAACACACCGAGAACGTTTTAAACTCACCTCCATGACCTGTCTGCTTGTTTGTCTGTCCGGTCACCAGATGCTTGCCTATCTGTCTGCCATCCACAGCATAGCCCTCGCTAGCCTGTCTGCAACACGATCCTGTTCATCCCCTGAACCCGTGCGTCGTACTTTTTAGACTGGTCGGCGTGTGATGACGCGTTCGGAACCGATCAAGAAAGAAGAAGCAGACAAGCGTGACCAAGAGGCGTTATTGCGTGAGGAGGAAGAAATGATGTTTCTATTTAGTTGAACTGTTCAATGAATGCAAAATTTCAACTATTTTTCAGTTTTTGTTCCCAAACTCAAACATTCCGAGTTTGACGTGACGGGAAAAGTGTTGACTTTGTCGGTCCTGTTGATTGAAATAGCCGCGGATGGCACTTTATCGTCCCGACTTTATTGTTATTACGTAAATTGTAATTATAATTTAAAGATATCAGATATTGGTGCAATCCGATCATATTGTTTTTGTGAACATAAATGGCCACCGTATGACGAAGCAATGGCCTGGTAAAAAAATGGGCGACATGCACCTTGCAACTAAGAAGGACCGTTCCGACTTCTGACCATTTAAAAAGTGAGCGGAAATATACTAATTTCCAGGGGCATATAACCAGTAAAGTAACTGAGAAGTTAACCATTGCCGAACGGCCGGTATTGTTAAACTTGACCGCGTCCCGTTAGCGCAATGACAACATTGGTTAATATTGCTCGAAATAGAATCCTTAGGTTCGGTACGCTCATCCAGTTGCAGCACTCAGTTCATACACAACACTGACAATTAACTCTTGAACACAACCTCAATCATTTTCTGGCATTTTCGAAACATTCGATCACACACTTCCAAAGTTATTTATTATTTCCTAGTTAGTATTTTAATCGCAAGTTCGAAGTTATTCCATACGACGAGATGTTGGTGATCGGACGACAATAACGCTAGTTGTAATGCGATGCAGTTATCATCCTAAAGCAGGACACTCATTAGGGCAATTGTTTTCCCAGCTATTCAGGTTTGTCAGTCAGATGCCGATCTCCTCTTGCAAAATTGCACTACAATCAATCCAGTTGCTGATTGATGCCACAACCTATTCGAATTAAACGAACGCAAAAACACAAACACACATAGCATAGCTGTCCAAGCGTTATGCTTTTATTAGGTAAAAAATAAGTGTACCGGTAATGGTGTAGTATATGATTCTAGTCAGCGTCAATTAAAAAGTTTGACAAGGCGTAAGTCTAAGTTTGGCGTGAAGATCGGTGTACTGTTTTGTTGTCCACTCATCAAGTGCCGCGCAGACACTAACCACAATTGTAATTACAGATAACGATAAGAATATAGTCTACGTGTACGACAAGAAAGAATAATTTGCAAGCAAAATGACACACTCATGTCATGTCCCAGTATAAGAGCGACGCGCACAACGTCAAGCGACGACGATCACGGAGCGACTAACAAAGGGAATGAACAAAGAAAGCGGTACTTAATAACACAGGGATTATCAACCAGAGTAACTCAGTGGCGAAGAGTAGGTTGGCTCAGTATAACGGATCACAGAGAACGAGGTGTGGGGACGATAAGCGACAGGTGTAGGATAACCATGCTGGTAAAGTGAATCGCAAAAGAAAAACAGAACAGTACAATAGCGAGATAGTATATGAAACGTTATCGAATATCGAAAAGTTATCGAATATCCATGCGAACTGTACGTTATCATGATGTAGACAAACTGTCTATCGAAGTGGTATGACGATTAAGGTGTGCATGGGTACAGAGTAGGCACACGACGATAACAGATGGCGTGGATTCGGGTACTGAGAAAAGTAGGTCAACAGAGTCAACCAAGCATATGGAGGATCTTAAAATGAATGCTTCACAGATAGAACATAGTGTGAAAACTCTGGGGGGGGGGGGGGGGNGTACTCACCCAAGGAGTCTGAAACGCTCGTTACAAACAGGGTAACAGGAATTACAATGCTTCTTTTCAAGGTGGCGGCTGACAAAAAATGGTTTCCTTTGGTATCCCCTCGTTTAAGGCGACCTTCGGTTTATGCTCATATAATCAAAACGATTTCATGGACGGATGATAATTACATTTTTGAAGGAGATCATCGACAATAAACAACAGCATCTGATTCTTGCTGATTCCCATACTAATGCATATTCTAGTATTTCCATGAACGCGTTCGTAGCTGCAGCATCTAGTATACTGTCCCAAACCTCTATTGGCTCGTAACTTTAAGCAAACCTTAGATTGTATTTCTTTTGCATGTCAACAAAAATTCCTAGTTCGTCTTTCCGCTTGTCGTTACAGAACACGGCCGAGGAGTTTTCGCACCTGTTGCATCTGTTGATTTGCGCTGCTGTCTAAGGTTGAATGCATATACAAGAGGATTTACACTTTAAAGTTTGATGCTTCACCATTGATTGCCTACTGCCATACGTACTCCAAAGCAGCTCTATCTGGTTGACCAACACGAGAGATGTACATCATACCTACAATTTCCTCCGGTGCTTGCTCGGTTGATGAAAACGTTACCAATGGGCATGTTAAAGTCTGTACCTAGGTGGTAATCAGCCGTGTCTAATCTATAAAGACGTTCGGGTTATCACCATGTTCAGTGCATGATGCATGCACTTTGGTGATTCGCTAAGCCGTGGTCAAAAATAATTTCGATGCTTACGAAATATATGACATTCACACAGCTATCAGCCGGACACAGTTCTTTATCAGATAGCAGACCCAATTGATTTCGTTCAATTCATTACACTTTCCCACCACAAATTCACTGGCTCCATAAAATTAGGGGGGTCACCACTTTATCTTCTAATTCAAACAAGC